GGAGGACTGGGTGTGGGGCGAAAGCACCGGCTTTGCGTTTTTTCCTCTTGGTTGCTATTTGAAATTAACAAAAACAAGGGGAGGAAAACCCCAAACTCATCCAGTTTTATAAAATCTGCTTTAACGTTTTTCTAGTTTTTTGGGGGGAGTATATGTTTTTCGCTTTTTTGTTTTTTTTTTCCAGGCAGTTACTTTTTCTTAGTTGTTCATATATGCTTTAGGGGAAGGTATGTGGCAGGACAAATAAGGAAATGAAAGTACTTTATCATATGAAGCTTTGCTGGGAAGATTTCGTCTGAAGTTCTCTACACTTTGATATTAAATACATAATTTGGCAAAAAGAAAACTTCAGTGATATATCTTTTGGGCAGCACTGTAAGGATATGTCTTGAGGAAACTTATAAATAAATTAAAAGCGCGAACACTGAAAATACTGTAACACTGAAGTGAATCGTTGATAGAACTTGCACATTTTTTAACCACATCCTTTCCTGTTGCTGGTCTGCTGCATGCAGATCCTGACTGTTTTCTATCATCTCTGTATTTCCTTTTAAATATTCTGAAATGTGTCTGATAAAGAGTTTGTTAGGGAGAAGTATTTGACTTTCAGGGCAGGAGACTTTGGAAATCACTCAATATTAGCATTGCACTCTTTTAAGTGAATTAAATCAATTGAAGCTCGACCAGTGATTTGCAATGTTAGGCCAAGTCCAAGCACTTAAATGAAAAATTCAGATTAGAATCTTCAATTGAAATTCTTGAAAAGTAACTTTAAAAAGGTCTGACAACCTATGCCCCACTCACTCAGGTTGGCAAGTTTTGTTATTTTCTGGTACCTGGCTGCTCCATCTGAAAAGGTAATCAATTTTTCTTCCGCTTTGATGTTACTAAGTGGAAATTGTGAACTGGAACTTAGTGAAGCTGATGGAGATGCATGATTCAGAACAGAATGCAGATCAGTCAGCCCACTTGGGGATAACAAACTAGTGGTGTAAAATGTTAGCTGGGATGGAAACCTGATGTAAAGAGAAGACATAATTTCCAGCATTTCTCAAGGAGTAATTACACTTTAAAAAGATAACTTTCTGCAAATTAGAGCCTTGAGTATGAGCGTTCAGATCCAGACTTGTAGTTTTCCAAGATATGGGAAATTGGATTTTGATTTATGACCATTGTGTTTGGCACGGAGATGACCAACCAAACTATCAAGGAACAGCAGCAGTTGAGTCTGCTGGAGGTTTAACTAACTAAACATCACTGTTATCTAATATGTGAAAGAATCTTATTATTTCAAAACAAGAAAAATTAACTTAGTCGCTCTTGAATTTTGTTATTAAATAGCATGAAGTTATGTGTCTTCTGAATGACTGTGGCATTCTTATGAGTGATGTATTTTAGAAGTGCTTTATCGGTGGTGTATGCAAACTTAAATATTTTGGCCATTGAAATATGTTTAAGGAGACATAAAATTGTTAAATTGTTAAAGTCTATGCAGCAACTTAACAGTGCTCTGGGAAGAAGGACTGAACGGTAAGATCTCATTGAAATAAGGAAGATAAGTCTGTAGGCTGACTGAGTGCAGTGACGCTAGTTGGCATTTTGTCAGATATCATGCATCTGTGAGAAATGCCCTGGCATGTTTACTTGCCTTAAGCAGTCAGCAAAACAAGTTTGTTTTTTCCAAAAAACCAGCAGTGTCGCAGAAAGTGTAAGTGGGGGAAGCACAAGCAGTGTGGAGTAGGAAACTGTCCCATTATACACAATCAGGGCTTTTTTCCCCTTTTTTGGGAGCTTTGGCAGTGCTTTTAATGGTGTTTAAGGAGCTTGAAACCAAGAGCTTTCTACCGAGAGCCCAAGACTGTTTAACTTAGGAAAGATCGCAGTTGTGTATATATGTATCCCAAGCCAGCAAGGCGCTCCGGAGAGGTGCTGACTATGACCTTCACTGTTTCCTGACTTAACCTTTAGAAATTGCAATGCAATTATTGCTTGCCTGTAAATCAGGAAAGCCTTGCAAGGCATGTTTCTGCCCCACAAAGCTTTCAGAATAGAAAAATACATGTGTTTTTTAAAATGCTTGCTCATCAGTTTTTCAAGTCCTCGTCCCTGAAGATGACTTTCTGTGCTTGGCTTGAGATTT